ATGGATAGGTCTGATCTTCTTGCAGTCCATGGGACTCTCAAGAGTCTCCTCCAGCACCATAATTCAAAAGCAACAATTCTTCGGCGATCAGCCTTCTTGATGGTCCAGCTCTCACTTCCATACATCACTACTGGAAAAACTATAGCTTTAACTATACAAACCTTTGTTGGCAAGGTGATGTCTCTGCTTTTTAGGACGCTAAATGCCAGATTAACCATCCAATGTTCAAAGGTCACGGGCACCATGGTTGAGTGGAACTAACTTGTGCTTCCTCTGTTTAGGACTGGCCAGATCATGCTTCAGTTGTAGGCAAACAGCTCTCCTTTTGGTCTAATTTCTTTTTGTAAGTAGCCAGGCCATCTGCTTGCAGTTTTCCTCATTTTTATTTTAGCTCAGTGGTATTCCACATGGTGCGCCTTTTATGATCATGGGGTCCGATTCCTCATCTTCAGAGGATAAGACCATGGACTTGGAGGGAGGTCAAGAAGGAATTGTCCACAGAGCCAACCAAACAGGTCCTCACTGCCCCAAAAGCTCCAACTAAGAATGGGTAAGGGACGGATTTCAATTTGTATTCAAAGGCAAACTGACCTAATTCACATTTCCCGAAACAATGAATGAATGAGAACACAACCATTCTTCAAAAGTCACACTTCTCTGAATTCTGCAATGCAGTTCTCCAGCCAAGTAATGTGTAAAAAACCCCCCAACCCCCCCCCCCCCACAAATAAATGCATATACAGTAGTACCTCGGGTTACATACGCTTCAGGTTACAGACGCTTCAGGTTACAGACTCCGCTAACCCAGAAATAGTACCTCGGGTTAAGAACTTTGCTTCAGGATGAGAACAGAAATCATGCTCCGACGGTGCGGCAGCAGCAGGAGGCCCCATTAGCTAAAGTGGTGCTTCAGGTTAAGAACAGTTTCAGGTTAAGAACAGACATCCAGAACGAATTAAGTACTTAACCCGACATACTACTGTATTAAAGTGTTGATAAAAATGTATATAGTTGTGAAGTGAAATTTGTGTAGGGAAATGGACTGTAGTAGGAGATATGCTTTGCAAAAATGTAATACATTAGGAAAAAATGCATTCAGAAATGTGTCTGTTATGAGAAATTCTCACTAAAATGCTGATGAACTTAAGAAGTAAATGAATCACTAACTGATGTGGAAATGTAGAGAACTTAAGACACGAAAAATGAGAAACAGAGAGCAACTGATTTGCCCATTCCTACATATAGCATATTAGCCATGCACTGTGGCCTGTAAACTAACACTCTCTCTCTCTCTCTCTCTCTCTCTCTCTCTCTCTCTCTCTCTCATATTGTGCTTTTCCCCCAGACTCGAGTTACCTTATAGGAAACACAGACACAGCTAAAAGATATCACACACACACACACAGACACAAACAAGCAAGTAAACAGACACACACCACTCTTATTTATTTTATATCCTAAAGCTGGATCATGTGACTCCTCATTCTTCCTTCATCCACCAACCATGAGCAGCAGCGGTGGGAGAAGATGCTGCTGGTGGGATGTTCTCTTCCATGGGACCCTCCTAGAGATACCAGCCCTTGTCTGGACCTGAAAAACCCTGATTGTGACTTTCCATAGTTGATCCAGCTTATCCACATATTTGGGGTTTGCATGCCATCTCCAAGGTATTCTCAAGACGCTCCAGAAGCAATATTTTCATGTTTGGGGAAAGTAGCCACCCCCATCCTTTCTCACCAAATAGCTTTCAGCATCTCAGAAGCACTTTTGAAAGCTCAGCCGTTCTACAGGAAGTCCATTTTCTTCTCACTTAAGGCCGGCTGCTATGATAGACCCTGGCACATGGCATTCGTTAGCTCTCTGGCTTGGTTACACAAATATTATCTGGCCCAACAGTATGTGTTCTCCTTCTACAGTTATGCTTTTCACTCTTGAAATATACTCGGAGTCGAGTGTGGATTTCATGCTCTTTATTCAGCTCATAGTAGTGAGGAATGAAAGTTCCCCCCAAATATCTGCTTTATATACATTATTTACACAATGGGCCACACGTGATTGGCTAATTCCAGGATTCTCCTGTAGGCCAATCAGATTGCGGATTCACTTCCACCTGGAGCTGGATTGGGTAGCTCCTGTGGACCAATCATACTGCTGCATTGTTCTAGGACCAATCAGACTGCTGCATTCCGAATCCTATTGTTCTAGGACCAATCCGACTGCTGCATTTTGGATCCTATTGTTCTAGGACCAATCTGACTGCTGCATTTTGGATCCTATTCAATTAGTACATAACAACTCTGTCGCCTGACACATTTCTTTCACTGGAGCCACAACAGGCAGTCGTTGCAAGAGGGATGTGAAAAGGCCAGGAAGAGCAGCGGACAGGAAGGATTGCTAGAGAACTTCTCAGGTGTTCTCTATTGCTTGACAACACACCTGTCAGAAGCAGGATGTCTCTGATGGCCAGTTATAGGGAATCACAAGTGGGGGAAGTGCTCTTGCACTCAAGTACTTTTTGCAGGTTCCCATTGGCATCTGATTGGCCATGATGACAACAGGATGCGGGACTAGAAAGGCCATTGGCTGGATCCAAGAAAGCCCCTCTTCTGTTCATATGTTTTATATGCAGAATTCCTGTGTATGAGAAATCAGTTAATTGTCTGAAGTGTAGGTGGGTTCCCACGAGGCAAGACACATTGATAACAGCAAGAACCTTTATTGAACTACAGAACTGGGCAACAGGGGCAAAGCAACTGCTTATACACATTTCTGAAAGTCTGGGCCGCTCCCACTCCCAACATGATTGGCTGTCTCAACTTCCAAGCTGCGAATCGTGACTCAAGAGTTTAAGGGCCAATGGCAGAGGCCCAAATCCTGAAATGTTCTGTGATTGGATATCATGTATCAAATCAGAACACAGGGGCTCAAAATCCTTAGTCCAGATTCAAGCTCAGGCAAACACAGACCACTGAATACAAAACACCATCTGCTCTGGATCAATACTGAGTAGAATTCCATAACAAGATACTGTATGTATGTATGTATGTATGTATGTATGTACAGTGGTACCTCGGGTTACATACGCTTCAGTTTACATACGCTTCATGTTACAGACTCCGCTAACCCAGAAATAATATCTTGGGTTAAGAACTTTGCTTCAGGATGAGAACAGAAATCGCGCGACGGCGGTGCGGCAGCAGCGGGAGGCCCCATTAGCTAAAGTGGTGCTTCAGGTTAAGAACAGTTTCAGGTTAAGAACGGACCTCTGGAGCAAATTAAGTACGTAACCAGAGGTACCACTGTATGTGTATATGTATCTATCTATATCGAGAGAGAGAGAGAGAGAGACAGAGAGAGAGATCTGTGGTCTGTGCCCAAACTTTAGTTCTGTGTTTAAAACTTTGGTTCAGCAAAGCAGCTTAGACTCCCAGGTAAGATCTGGGATCATGAAAAAGCAGATAGCTTTCTCTGTCAGCTATTTGCTAGCAGACATCAAATTTACTGCACCTGTGTTATTTGGTTCCTGGGTTTCAAGGTTGTACTGACCACTTTGTTAATTGCAATAACATTTTTCAGCTGTGCTGTCACGGGTTCATGACTGGACTCAGGGTTCTGGAATGATACAGCTGAGGTGTCTTCTGGTAGGCTGAGGAGCGAGGCATGTGACTCTTCTGGGGGATGAAGAATGCTGGTAACATATTAGCTGAAGGGATGAGGGTGGTGCTGTGGGTTAAACCACAGGGCCTAGGACTTGCTGATCAGAAGGTTGGCGGTTCGAATCCCCACGACGGGGTGAGCTCCCGTTGCTCGGTCCCTGCTCCTGCCAACCTAGCAGTTTGAAAGCACGTCAAAGTGCAAGTAGATAAATAGGTACCACTCCGGTGGGAAGGTAAACGGCATTTCCGTGTGCTGCTCTGGTTTGCCAGTAGCGGCTTAGTCATGCTGGCCACATGACCCAGAAGCTGTACGCCGGCTCCCTCGGCCAATAAAGCAAGATGAGCGCCGCAACCCCAGAGTCGGTCATGACTGGACCTAATGGTCAGGTGTCCCTTTCCCTTAACCTTTACCTTTACCTTAAGTTAGGCTTGCCATTTTTGTGTGCGTTTGCATTTTTCTAGATGTTCCTAAATTCTTAACTATTATGATTCTTAAATCTTTTATTCCTATTTGGCAACAGGATTCATGTCATGATGCTATTTTAGTATTATCAAACAATAAAACATACATTCTTCATTTTTGCATAGTTAAAGCCTTGGTCCTAAAACCAGTGTCTCAGACCTCTCTGGTGACTGTATATTTGGCTTCCTCTGCTGAGGCTTCAGGAAGCAGAGTGGGGTCTTTAACTCATGCTCCTTGGCATATTGGGGATGTCCAGTGTGCAAAGCGAGAATCTTGGGTTGGTGAATCTAACAGTGGTGGCAGCTTTGAGGGTTGGGTTACACTGAGGCCGACCGGTCCTGAAAGACCTACACTGGCTCCCAGTACGTTTCCGAGCACGATTCAAAATGTTGGTGCTGACCTTTAAAGCCCAAAATGGCCTCGGTCCAGTATACCTGAAGGAGCGTCTCCACCCCCATTGTTCAGCCCAGACACTGAGGTCCAGCGCCGAGGGCCTTCTGGTGGTTCCCTCCCTGCGAGAAGTGAGGTTACAGGAAACCAGGCAGAGGGCCTTCTCGGTGGTGGCACCCGCCCTGTGGAATGCCCTCCCATCAGATGTCAAGGAAATAAACAACTATCTGACTTTTAGAAGACATCTGAAGGCAGCCCTGTTTAGGGAAGTTTTTAATGTTTGATGTTTTATTGTGTTTTTAATATCCTGTTGGAAGCCGCCTAGAGTGGCTGGGGAGGCCCGGCCAGATGGGCGGGGTATAAGCAATAAATCATTCATTCATTCATTCATTCATTCATTCATTCATTCAGCATAGACAGGTGCTGACCTGGGTTTTGGGCCAGGCTTGAACTGTTGTTGGGTTGAAATAAACGACAGATGAATGGCAAGGTGTCATACGCGAGGCATCTCTTGAGCATGTCTCGGAGAGTCCCTTTTACTGACTATTACAGCATTACCACATATGTGCTTGTTGCTGATTGGTTAACATGAATACAGTGGTGCCTCGCAAGAAGAAAAGAATCCGTTCCGCGAGTCTCTTCGTCTTGCGGTTTTTTCCGTCTTGCGAAGCAAGCCCATTAGTGGCTTAGCGGATCAGCGCTATTAGCGGCTTAGCGGATCAGCTGTTAAGCGGCTTAGCGGATCAGCTGATAAGCGGCTTAGCGGATCAGCTGTTAAGCGGCTTAGCGGATCAGCTATAAGCGGCTTAACGGATCAGCTGTTAAGCGGCTTAGCGGCTTAGGATCAGCTGATAAGCGGCTTAGCGGCTTGGGAAAAAGGGGGGGAAAGGAAAAAAACCCTGCAGGAACTCGCAAGACATTTTCGTCTTGCGAAGCAAGCCCATAGGAAATTCGTTTTGCGAAGCACCTCCAAAACGGAAAACCCTTTCGTCTAGCGGGTTTTCCGTCTTGCGAGGCATTCGTCTTGCGGGGCACCACTGTACAATGCAAGGGCATTAATCCTGAGGGTTGGGAAAGGGAACACATGGTTACTAGTGATTGATATTGCATGACTTGAAAGAACATAACAATCGCAGTCCGTAGATGTGGTCAACAATGCATTAAGAACAGGTCAGGGTGTGATGTTTCATGAACTCAATGTGAACTGTTCAGAACATTCTCAGACCCATGCGCAGAGGCAAAAACATCCCAGCAAACTGTGATCTGGTGGGCAGCATTAAAGAGAAAGAAATCCCCTTGACGTTGGTGGGTAGCAAATACTCTGGTCTCCCTAAAGGGTAAAAATCCATGATTTAATGGCATCCCAAAAATTTTGGTCCCATGTTACCCAACAGTAGGACCTGCCCTGTCTTCAAATTTTAGCTTCCAGACTTTTTTCCCTTTCCTGGCTTACTTCTAGCATTAACCACGTCTCTGTTCTTGCTTTCCACTTTCTCTAGGGGGCAAATTCTAACCCTTGGCTTTCAAAACATGCTCCTAAAAGCTGGAGGATGGGAAGAGATCAACGACACCTTTACTAAATATTATAAGTGCATCTTTATTTTGTACAACTCGGTATACAATGACAACATGGGATGCTTTAACTAAAAAAACAGACAACCACTGGATAGCAAAACAATCACTATGGACCAGGAGACTGACAAGCAAACATTGAAGCAACATCTGTACAGTGGCATATTTACAATCGTTTTATAGATACATTAACAATATTATTATTATTAATATTAATATTATTATTATTAACATTTGTATCCTGCTTGTTCCAAGCAGCTCAAGGCAGCGTAAATGAAAATACTTCATTGATTTTATGGCAATAACCTTGTGAGGCTGGCTGTTTATCTTATTTACAAACTGCTCCACAGACTGACGCCATCAAAGTGGTTTACAGAAAGGTTAAAAAAAGAGAAATGAAATTCAAAAAGAAAAAGAAAAAAGAGAGGCTGGGACAGGGTGTCTTGCCTGAAAACCATCGTTTGTGGCCGAAGCAGAAACTTGAACCCAGTTCCAAGTGTAGCATCTAATCCCTAAGCCACACCAACAGCAATCCTGATATCACACAGACTGTCATTAAGATGCTAGTACGTTATCAATACAAACTATCGAGCAAAACATTGCAATTTTACATGTGGTTTTCACAGTCATCTACCTAGAGCCCAAAAGGGCTTTTCACTGAAGAAGCAGCTTTTGGGAGTTTCTACTTCATTTTGTTTTTAATAAAAAAACCCAAGACCACATTCCAAGAGCTATTTACATTTTGAGGACTTTTCCATTTTCCTCCATCCATTTTACAAAGGATTCTTTCTATTCCCCTTTAAGGAAGAAACATGTGCAAAGAGTTACTGTGCTTTTCTGTCAAGTGCTTTAACAAGGAACAGTAAGCGAAGGCTTCCCTTTGGCATCACACCAGCACCACCCAAGTGAGGTAGCCTGACAGAGATTCCATCCCATTTTCGAGATGGGGAAAACTGAGGCGGCAGAGGAAATGCTGGAGACTTCACAGGCCCTTGAATCTGGTGGGACCTCTAAGCCAACTTCCATTTTATCCTGGCATTCTGGTAGCAGCGTAAAGATCAAGCCGCTTTTCCCAAAACTAGGACCCAGGGTTGGTTTTTGAACTATGTGGCTGAGTCTGGAAGGAGGCTGGAGCTGAATTCAGGTCTCCCATGAATGGCAGCTGTTTGAGTCAAGCAAGAGGCAATAGGCAAGCTCATCACACCCTGATTGTTGAAAACAAGTGTTTATGGGGCAAGGTAGCAGTTATGCCGATGTCCAGCACACTCAGGATGTTTCTGGTTTCATTGCGGGACAAGTTTCCTTTGATGTACAAGATGGCGGAGAGGTGCTCCTTGCTGTCAAAGAGGAAACACGGAGCGTCAGAATTTGAAAGGATACAGCAACATAGAGGCAGTAGAAATATTCAACAAAAGAGAGCAAATCTGAGACTCCCAACTCTCTGAACTCGACTACTGTCCCTGATTTATCTAAGAACCTAAGAAGAGGCTACAGGAATCAGGCCAATGGCCGATCTACTTCAGTATTCTGTTCCCACAGGGGCTGACCAAGATACCTGTGGGAAGTTTGCACGTAGGCCGCCAAGACCATATAATACCGGTTCTGAAAGACCTACATTGGCTCCCAGTACGTTTCCGAGCACAATTCAAAGTGTTGGTGCTGACCTTTAAAGCCCTAAATGGCCTTGGTCCAGTATACCTGAAGGAGCATCTCCACCCCCATCGTTCAGCCCGGACACTGAGGTCCAGCACTGAGGGCCTTCTGGCAGCTCCCTCACTGCGTCAAGTGCAGTTGCAGGGCCTTCTTGGTAGTGGCGCCCCCTCTTCAGATGTCAAGGAAAAACAACTATCTGACTTTGAGTAGATATCTGAAGGCAGCCCTGTTTAGGGAAGTTTTTAATGTGTGATGTTTCATCATGTTTTTAATATTATGTTGGGAGCCGCCCAGAGTGGCTGGGGAAACCAGAACTCTGCAACTTTTCCTCATAGGGAAGTTAATCTACCCCCTTGATCAATTTGGTTGCCCTGCAGATGAGAATATTAAAAGATACACGTATCGAATAGTGTTTCTACATGTCTTTCCTAGCAGGAAAGGCAGCAAGTGACGGGATGTGACTAAAAGAGGAAGGACCTTGTTGTTCAACAGGTATTTCCTGTTGGGGGAGTTTACAGCCAACATTGCAGTTCTCTTGACATTAACTCTGCCTCCTGTGCTCCTGTACTCATGAGGACTAGTGGCAATCAGTATGAGAGGCACCCTTTTAATGCATGGGATGGGAGGGATTGGCACTCTAATTTAGATCAATTCGCCAGCAAAATGCCAGGTGTGGAAGTGTTTCATTGAAGTGGGAATAGATTCCCAACCTGCAGCTAAAGCACTGTGATACCACTTTAAATAGACATAGCTTCCACAGAGCTGCAATTCCCAGAGTTCCCTGGGAAGAGGGATTGATTGTTAAACTGGGAATTGTACCTCTGTGAAGGTAATAGGGGTCGCCTAGCAACTCTCAGCAGCTACAATTCCCAGAATTCTTTGGGGGAAACCATGACTGCTGCTAGATGTTGCAAAACTGGCATTGGGCTGGACACAGATACTAGAGTACGGTCAACAGCATTGACTGGGAAATTAATAAGCCAGGCCAGAGTGGCAAAGGGAAGACACAACCCCTTTTCCTTTTATAACATGTGGCGAATGTTTATTGAATACGTAAATTGTTCAGACGGAGGCAGGAATCCACCCAACACTCATGGGAAAATGTGGCGTGATCTCTTAGACCAATCAAACAAAACTTTATTACACAGCATGACAAAAGTCTGTAATTTTATCAGGGCAAGTTATTTGTTGTTTACTGTTGTAACAATTGCTTTCTCAAAATGTATCGCCTGTACCATGAAAAATAAATAAAAACATTACAAAAAAGGTATGATTGTGCTTTAAAGGTGCTATAGTGAACATATGGCCTAATTTAGGCTTCGCCAGGCTATGTCTGGAAGAAGCGAGAGAAGCGAGAAGCGTTTGTTGAGGGAGCAATCTCATGCTTTCACTGCTCTAGACCTCCAGATGTTTTGGGACTACAACTCCCATCATCCCTAGCTAACAGGACCAGTGGTCAGGGATGATGGGAATTGTAGTCTCAAAACATCTGGAGGGCCGAGTTTGCCTATGCCTGCTCTGTGAAGATGGCAGGCATGTGATTATATCAGCAGTTATGTCTGCCTGCTGCAAAAACGTCCTAGCTGGATTATACTACTCAAGTTTACCAAATCTGTGGTGTCTTATTTCATGGGGGTGGTGCTGAGGCAGTGGCTCAAAGTCAGCAACCAGCTATCTTACCCAAGTGTGGCACTGCTGCCACACTGGCTCAAAGTTTCCAAGTAACCCAGGAGTTGCCAACCTTTTGAGGCCCCTGGGTACATTTGGGCACCACCACAAAATGGCTGCCATGGGGCGCAAACCCAACCCAACATGCACACTGGACCTCACAAAGCACAATAAAATACCCATTTCACAGAAGGCAAACTGGTGAGGCTCAGGGATGAGGAACCTGTCCAAGAAACTGAATGAACAATTCTATGTAAGCCCCAATTACATCTGAGGAGATCTACATAGGGTGGTTCTGTGTTGGCAACCCGAGAAGTGAGGTCATAAATTCTTTTCCTCTTACCTGATATCTGGATATTTACTGGCAAGCATTCCGACTTCAACCATGACGGTATCTGTACCTTGGAGTTTGATGATTTCAGCCAGGCTTGGGAGAGCATAACCCAGCCATTTGGCAGTGGACCCCTATCAAGTTAAAAAGACCACACTGAGTCAGTCAACATGCAGATTCCCAGATAAAAATTAGGCCACCCATATACTCAAAATATAGAATCACAAGGCTGGAAACGGCTAGACTGCTATGGAGACCCTGAGACCCTCAAGGCAGAGTCCCCACCATAATTTGAAAAAATCTGCTCAGGAGATTCTTGGCAGACAAGCCATATTGGAAACATGTCCCATGAAGGCAAACAGGTTGAAAACTATGTTGCTATTTATTTATTCTGCTAAAGAACATTTCAAAACACACACTTCAACTTTTGCCAGATGTTGAATATCTGGCACCCTCAAAATGTCCCCACCTCTTCAGCTCATGTTTCTTGCATCTCAATACCCTGCCCTATAAAAGTACACAGAAATTCTAGACTGCGGCACTCTACATTTCACACCGAAGACATGTGGATATGAAGACAGACATCTGGCTCCATTATAACCATGATACCAGATTATACATCTTAAATAATATTTTAACAGCTTAATATACAGATGTGATGTGGTATATATCTTGCCAAAGATATGTTTTGCTAAAATTTGTTCACTGGAAGCCAAGAGTTGTGAGTTCCGAGACATTGCTGGGCTCAAAGATGAAGCAGAAGGCTGAGATGGAGGAGGAGGAATCAGAGAATGACCTGAGGGGGTTGAGGCCAGGGCACAGAGGCTGGAAGAGATGGGATGTGGCAGCCCTGGCTGGGGAAGCAGGCATCCCATTTCCCTTCTTCAGCCCTGGAGACTGGAGCACAGCAACGGAGGGAGAGCACCAGCCCACCATTAGAGGTAGAGGAACCAGGGGCTGCAGTGGGGGGTACAGCCTGGGTGGCGCATCCGTCACTGGGAAGAGATGCACCCACCTCAGTTTAGTCTGCACACTCAACAGTCTCGCAAGGCCCAGGAGCCTCATGAGGAAGTTCACCTTTGAAGCTTGGTGGTTGGGCATGCCAACTTGTTGGGACAACTGTGTGGCTTTCATGCAGTTCTGACCTCTTCCTTGCCCTGATCTTGGACTCCTTAAACTTGGACTGTGGGTTCTAGTCCGGTTAGCTTCCCCTTTCCTGCCATTTTTGTTTGTCAACTCTCTTGCCTGTGCATGTGTCGGGATGATCCACACCACACACTTAAAGCAAATGGCTTCCCCAAAGAATCATGGGAACTGTAGTTTGTTAAGAGTACAGAGAACGACAGTTCCCAGGATTCTTTTGGAGAAGGCATGTGCTTTAAATATGTGTTGGATGTGCTTTAAATGTATGATTTGGACCTGCCCTTATTTGGAAATGAGGATGTCAAACAAGGCTTATTCCCAACCATACGTGCTGAGCATTATGCACAAAAAATGCTTCATAGCACCTAGCGATGGGTGACTATCAATTTTGATTTTTTCTAATCTTCAGTCCTCCACATTTGCCCATCAGTTTGTGATTACTTTTTTATATATATATATAAATATATCCTCACAAAAATTCACCGACACTCTGGTGTGAATTTCTCCTAATATATAGATTTGTAAGCGATTTTGCCCAACACAGGAATGTTTGCAAATAGTCTTCCCCAAGGCAATGCAATTTTGTACATTCTTTTCACAAAGATGTGTATTCTTATGCACACACTACATGGGTACATGCATTTCTGTACACATTGCTTGGCTGGAGAACTGCATGGCAACATCTGGAGAAGGGTAAGATTCGAAGGATGGCTGTGCTTCATTTCGTGCATTGTTTCAGAAAGTGAAAATTAGGTAGGTTCATCTTTAAATGCAAACTGAATCACATTTCTCTCTCATCCTTTAAAGCCCTATATGGCCTAGGACCCTCGTACCTACGGGACCGCCTCTCCTGGTATGTCCCACAGAGGAACTTACGGTCTTCAAACAAAAACATCCTAAAGGTCCCAGGCCACAGAGAGGTTAGGCTGGCCTCAACTAGAGCCAGGGCCTTCTCAGTGATGGCCCCGATCTGGTGGAATGCTCTGTCACAAGAGACTAGGGCCCTGCGGGACTTGACATCTTTCCGCAGGGCCTGGAAGACAGAGCTGTTCCACCAGGCCTTTGGTTAGGGCACAGCCTGACTCCCTCCTTTGGCAAACTTCACAGAACTTTAGCCTAATGGTTGCCATCAATTTGCGTTGAATTAATTTTAATGAAATGATTTTAGAATGTTGTATTATTTTATTGTTGTTAGCTACCCTGAGCCCAGCTTCGGCTGGGGAGGGCGGGATATAAATAAATTTATTATTATTATTATTATTATTATTATTATTATTATTATTATTATCATCATCCCTAACAGCATGCAGCAGTAGCTTGTTAAATGTCAGGGGCTGCATGTTGAGACCGAAAAGCCCATGGTGAAAAACAAGACTTACATTCTCTAAGCAAAACGTGCACAGAATAGAGGCATGCTGTTGGACGAGCTCAGACAAGTTCTTTTGCAGTTCTGGGGTCCTCAAGCTAACCTTCTTCTTCATAAGCCTTGAAATGTACTCTTGGACCAGAAAGAAGTGAATTTTCTCAATGACAGCCTACAGCAAAAGAAGCAAGTAGTTAGTCCTTTGCGATCAGACGAAGGAGAGAGAAGACACACACAAATCAATATAGCTTGAATTCTAAAAATACCAAGAGAAAGACTTTCCAAACTTGCCTAACTGGTTATTCTGAAAACAAACTGGTTTTTATAATTATCTAGAGCAGGAATGGTTAGAAGGCAGATTGGGGTTTACTGGAAGATCTCCTGAGTGATCTGTACTGGATTGCAAAGAATTTTTGTTCCCTTTCGTTTAATGATAGCAGCAACAAAACATCTCCTCTCTAAATTATATAGCTGAAATGCAGAAAACTTTTTTTTTGGGGGGGGGTGTTATTGAACTGTAACCATGTTAGCTTACGAGCTCTCTTAATAGGCCATAATTTGTTCCAAAAAGACTTCAGAAAAAATAAACATTGAGTGAGTTATGACCGCCAACAATGTACAAAGCATAAGAACTATCAGATGGGAACCATAAACTCCCCCCCCCCCCCCGAAGAGTTCCTGCTGCACGTTGACTGTTGGCTCTCATAATTAACTTCATTAGCTGGGTAGATTATTTTAAGAAGACAAAAGTAGGAAATTTGAATGCATGACCCTTCCCTTGTGAGTTTACATTGGCTTTTTGGAACGAAAAGCAAGCTTTCAAAGGAAAAGGGCTCTTGTGGTTTGGTCAAGCCCTTGAGCTTCTGAAACTGAAAAAAGGTCAAGGACAACAAGCAGTAGAGAAGGATAAGTGAGCGCAGCTGGTTTGGTAGGCCAAGGAACTGAAACGGAGGAGATCTCTTCTTTGAGCCAAACTTAAAATGCTCGGCAGCAGATCTAGAACTGTGAATGCTGGATCCCTGCAGAACATCAACAAAGGGTGGTTTAAACCCTTTCCCCAGCCTTTCAGTTCTCCCCTGAATTTCAATATATTTTCACCTAGAGCCTCCATCCTTTTCTTTTGGTTTTCTGGGAGCAATACCTCCACTCTAGGAAGCCTTTTTAAATTTCTCCAACACTACACGGTGCACTACACTCATACATAAGGGAAATGTGTGCGTACAGCATCAAAAACAAAGCCTTTCTCAGTTTTAAACTCTCTTATAAACTACAGTGGTACCTTTGTTTACAAACTTAATCCATTCCAGAAGTCCACTCTTAAACCAAGGCGTTCTCAAATCAAGGCGTGCTTTCCCATAGCAGCGGGGGACTCAATTTGCAAATGGAACACACTCAACAGGAAGCGGAACATGTTCTGCTTCCAAGGCAAAGTTCACAAACCAAAACACCTACTTCCGGGTTTGCAGCGTTCTTAATCCAAGTTGTTCATAAACTAAGCTGTTCTTAAGCCAAGGTACCACTGTACTGCCCATTTTCAGCCTTAGGCTAGAGGAACTGATTAATCCCAGTGCCGGTCTTTGAAAAAACATAAAACTTCCTCCTTTTCATTAGCTTACCTGGCGAAGAGGGTCTTTGAGAGCTCTCAGCGTAGAAACATGATGTATGGCGGTTGCTATGATTTCATCAATAATATCAGTGCAGGAAGCCCATTTTCTCTGGGTAAACTTTCTAAAAATAGGCTGGGGGAAAGTTCAACACAAGAGCAACAGTTCAGGTTTTGGAACAGAATTTCCTACATTTGCAATTTCCTACATTTGCATTTTGCTACTTTTGCACATTAGGAAAAAGGAACTGAAAAGTCTTTCAAAATATGGTATGTTACATTACTAAGATTGGCGAGGGCAGGGCAACCAGTAACCTCAGACAATTCTCACTAACCCTTCTCCTTCCAGGCTGGGTCCATCACAACAAGGGTGGCTAGATGCAAAGAGGGGACAGGACTCCTCCACTGTTAAGAGTTCTGCAGAAGAGGGAATTTTAGCAGGTGCTATTAAAGGCCCAGGAACCCCTTCCTCTTTTTCACCTGGCGGTGCTGACTCCAGATATGGGGTGGAGGCCTTGGGCACGAAGACCCCCACCCTCTGTCTTATTCCCCTATCAGTCTGTTGTTGCCAGCTCCTCCTCCTCTGCCTCACCTTGCGACAACTTGCTTCCCAGACAGAGACAATGAGAAAGCAGGCAGTGGAAGCTCCTTCTCACTTCCATCCAGTACGGTTGTTTCCTTGCTCATCCCATTTCCTCACCAGATCAAGCTGGCTGCAGTGGCGAAGAGGAACGGCAAGAACAGGCTGACCTTCTCCAGGCTTGTGGGCGGTGCCGGCCCCATCATTAGGCAAAGTGAAGCAGCAGCCTTAGGCGGCAGGTGCTGGGGGACGGCAACAATAGCAGTCTCCTGGCTATTCCTCCTAAGCCCTGGGGCTGCTCCTCTCTGTTGGAGGACAGAGACTAAGCTGCCTGTCAGTAGAGTGGAGGATGTTATTCTGAAGTGTTGCCAGGGCTGAAGTAAGATTCAGCCACTGGTACAGTGGGAATAAGGAGAGGGTGCCATCGTGCCTGTTATGTACTGAGTTGAATAGGATCCAAAATGCAGCAGTCTGATTGGTCCTAGAACAATAGGATTCAGAATGCAGCAGTCTGATTGGTCCACAGGAGCCACCCAATCCAGCTCCAGGTGGAAGTGAATCCGCAACCTGATTGGCCTACAGGAGAATCCCGGAAATAGCCAATCATGTGGGGCCCATTGTGTAAATAAGGTATATAAAGCAGACGTTTTGGGGGAACTTCCATTCCTCCTCACCACTATGAGCTGAATAAAGAGCATGAAATCCACACTCGACTCCGAGTATATTTCAGTGCCCTTTGCCTCAGACAATAAAAAAATATTGGCCAACGGTTGATGCCCCGGCCCTGATGCATGAATGGCAGAAGGGAGGAGAAAAGCAAGAACCAAGTTCTTATTGCCCTTTTTGGACGCCTTATTCGTTATAATTTGTTTTGTAATTTTTTTATACTGCCCTCTGTATAAGTTTCAAGAGTGGTGAGTTATTTCTTTTAATCCTCTTTCTATGCATACCCTTTAACTGGCTGAGTGGCGTTGTCCTAGGAGCGGCATTTCTGCCACCTTCAATATACTGTAGTAGAATCACAGAATTGTAGAGTCGGAAGGGACCTCGAGGGTCATCTAGTCCAACCCCCTGCCTTGTAGGTGTTTTTTGCCCAACGTGGGGCTCGAACTCACAACCTTGCGGTTAAGAGTCTCATGCTCTGCTGATTGAGCTATCCACAGGGCAAACCCAGAGGTGTATCACGCAGCTGTAGGGTTACCTGCAGTTCCTGAACCACGCATTGAACGAGCACATCACAGCCAGCGGTCTCAATGTCACTAAGGGCATTAACAATTTTCACTCGGATATAGTCCTGTCCTGAAGTTTTTTCAGCGTGGGACCTGGAGGGAAGAAAGAAAGAAGCTGTGGTTTGTCCTGCCATTGTTTCATGATGTCACTTGCTGCCTTTAACTCTGCTCTTGCAGCCGCAGTTGATGAACTCATAGAATGATAGAATTGTAGAGTCGGAAGGGACACCGAGGGTCATCTAGTCCAACCCCCTGCAATGCAGGAATCTTTTGCCCAACACGGGGCTCGAACCCACAACCCTGAGATGAAGAGTCCCCTGCTCTACCAACTGAGCCATCCTGGTAAAGGTAAAGGTAAAGGTAAAGGTAAAGGGACCCCTGACCATTAGGTCCAGTCGTGACCGACTCTGGGGTTGCGGCGCTCATCTCACTTTATTGCCGAGGGAGCCGGCATACAGCTTCCGGGTCATGTGGCCAGCATGACTCAGCCGCTTCTGGCGAACCAGAGCAGCACACAGAAACGCCGTTTACCTTCCCGCCAGAGCAGTACCTATTTATCTACTTGCACTTTGACGTGCTTTCGAACTGCTAGGTTGGCAGGAGCAGGGAACGAGCAACGGGAGCTCACCCCGTCGCAGGGATTCGAACCGCCGATCTTCTCATCAGCAAGTCCTAGGCTCTGTGATTTAACCCACAGCGCCATCTGCGTCCATTGAGCCATCCTGGTAGAATGCAGATAAACCCAGTGCCATCAAATTCCTAAGCAATGGTGCAACCCCCCCCCAGCATTAACAAATTATGTTTGCTTGCCTGTAAAGTGCCACAGGGCCCCTTACCTTGTCATGTAAGTCTAGCAAACTAAATTAATGGATTTATGGCAGAGGTGGAGCTTCCCTCTTAGCCAATATACAACATCGAATAATAATAATAATAATAATAATAATAATGATTTATTTATATCCCACCCATCTGGCTGGGTCTCCCCAGCCACTCTGGGCAGCTTCCAACAAAATATTAAAATACAGTAGTCCATCAAACATTAAAAGCTTCCCTAAACAGGGCTGCCTTCAGATGTCTTCTAAAAGTCTGGTAGTTGTTTTTCTCTTTGACATCTGGTGGGAGGGTGTTCCACAGGGTGGGCGCCTCCACCGAGAAGGCCCTCTGCCTGGTTCCCTGTAACTTATGTAACAACACAAAACCACTCTGCATGTGCTCAGGGGCACCCTTAAAGTGCCTGGTGTGGAAAACCATATTAGGGAAAGTGTTCCTTCCTATTTATGAAAGGAAGGTTGTGCCTTTTTTCAGATGGTACTTGGGAGCTGCATGTTTGACTTGCATTCAAAATAGGAATTAAAAAAATATATATAATTGGGTCTCCACTGAAACACTGCAACCCACCCTGCAGGGATGTAGTCTGGCACTGAACCATTGGTGGAGTTCATCCGTTTGACCATATTCATTACATAAACAAAGCTTCCGTCTTCTGGAATTGGGTTGGACAAAATGAAGTATGAATCATTTTATAGATGCTAGTCGCTGATATGTCTGCAGAGGCACCCAGTACCGGCCACGGGGAAACATGGGATTCCGGTCTAAATTAAGACTGGCTGACCCTCTGTGACAGCCTTTGCCAAGCTGGTGCCCACCAGATGTTTTGGACTTCGATTCCCATCAGTCCCAATTCTCACAGCTCCCATGTACTTGACCCTCCCACTATGCGTATTGCAGAACGATATCGTTGCCATTCATTACTTACCGAAAACCCAAGCAACTGTTCATGTTTGTAACTACTGTCGCTTCAAAGTATTGGTTGTTCTTCTTCTCCCTCATGAAAATGTCCAGTGCCTTCTTGTAGCTAGAGAGCCAGTGGGGGAATGAGATAAGGGTTAGAATGTTGGCATCTGTATATAATTCGGCACTGATATAATGAGGCTATTATTGGATTATGGTAATCGAAAACTAATAAAATTTATTATCGAGAAAGCTGGCATCTGGTGCTGGCTTTGACCATTAAAGCCCTTCACGGCCTAGGACCCTCATACCTACGGGACTGCCTCTCCCGGTCTGCCCCACGGAGAGCCTCAAGGTCCATAAATAGCAACACCCTAGTGGTCCCGGGCCCTAAGGAAGTCAGATTAGCTTCAACCAGAGCCAGGGCCTTCTCAACACTGGCTCCGGCCTGGTGGAATGCTCTGTATCATGAGACCAGGGCCCTGCAGGATCTGATTTCTTTCCGCCTGTAAGGCAGAGTTGTTCTGCCTGGCCTTTGGCTTGGAGCCAATTTGATTCCCTCCCCCTCTTTCTTTTTTCTTTTCTTTTCTCTTCCTGCGACGAGGCTACATTTTAATATTTTAATGTTTCAATATTTAATGTTGTATTTTAATTTTGTTTTAAAGTTGTATTCATTCAACTTGTTTTTATTATTGCTTGTTAGCCGCCCTGAGCCCGGCCTTGGCTGGGGAGGGCGGGGTATAAATAAAAATTATTATTATTATTATTATTATTATTATTATTATTATTATTATCCGATTCAGAGCCTGCGCTGACATGATCTGAAATGCATTCCTTCGTGACCTCGCTATCCTACCTTTGCAGAAAGGCCAGGAGCTCTTCCAAAACCAGTGTTGACATTTGCTTGCCAAGCTCTGCGGAAATGCCTTCAGCTTCTTTCTGTTTGTTGTGGATAATCTAAACACACACACACACACAAAATTCCAAGAGTCACCACTGCAGCTCCTACTTTAATATCCGGCAATCCGTAGTTAAGAACATAAGAACAGTGGTGGGCTGGATTCCAAAGATTCCACAGACTTGCAGCGCTGGGAGGGACCCTGAGAGTCATCTAGTCCAACCCCCTTCAATGCAGGAATCTTTTTGCCCAACATGGGGCTCAAACCCATGAACCTGAGATTGAGAGCCACATGCTCTACAGACAGAGGCATGGATGGACCAGTGGCAGCCTCCCCTCCTGTGGTTTCAAGCAACGTGTGTTCAGTTGCTCTGATTCTATGATCATTCTTTATTTATTAAATTTGTATACAGTGTGTTCTTAATAGAGAGCATGTGTTGCGGTGGGGTCTAGCAAGCCACCCCACTGTTGCTGGGCAGATCTGTTTGGATGGCCACAGGCTATGATTGGGTACTTGTATTTCTGGGGAGATTTCGATGTTACCAATTTGTGGGTTGGGCTCAAAGGTTTTAAATATTGGGCACCCAGCTTTGGGCTTTCTCTTTTGCTGGGTGCACCGGATCACCCGCCCACCCTCCCTGAACTGGGGATTTTGCGCTTGACCTTGCTATACCTGTCATGGGGTCGCCTGCTTTTGGGGCAGGGGCCTGGTAGGAATTTTGTCCATTTGGCTGATGGGCGGGAGCCATTTGGTTTTTGCCTACTGCATAGCAAATTGTCACAACTTGTAAGGTTTGCGGTTAGGCATTGGTTAAAAAATTGGTTGGTGGAGGGGTAAGTGCCTACCCCTCCAATGCTGGTGTTGCAAGGGAATTCCATTAAAGGAATCCAGGGGCTTGCCATGCTTTCGTCCAAGTCCCTGGCATTGGGCTTGGGCCACGCAAGCCTCTGGGAGCATGTGGGGAGAGGTGAGGGTCTGGTGCCCAGCTTCATTTCTCCCCAAAATGTTTTCCCTTTCTGACTTCATGGGTGTGCAAATGTCAGTCTGTCCCCGTGCGGGGTCAGATAAAGGTAAAGGTAAAGGGACCCCTGGCCATTAGGTCCAGTCATGACCGACTCTGGGGTTGTGGCGCTCGTCTCGCTTTATTGGCCGAGGGAGCCAGCGTACAGCTTCTGGGTCACGTGGCCAGCATGACAAAGCCACTTCTGACGAACCAGAGCAGTGCACGGAAACGCCATTTACCTTCCCGCCAGAGCAGTACCTCTTTATCTACTTCCACTTTGACGTGCTTTCGAACTGCTAGGTTGGCAGGAGCAGGGACCTAGCAATTGGAGCTCACCCCATCACGGGGATTCGAACCGCTGACCTTCTGATCTGCAAGTCCTAGGCTCTGTGGTTTAACCCACAGTGCCACCTGCATCCTGCGGGGTCAGATAATTGCAACCAATGCCTAAGCAACCACTCACATTGCTTGTATTTTAATAAAGTTGTGGCCAAAATTATGCCAAAAACCTTAAACAAAAATTATGTGTGATGTGTGAGTTATTGGGGTGGCTTGGAAACCTCAACACGCAACACACTTCATCCGAAGGTCTTAGGTTGGCTATCCTTCTCATTCCCTCTAAGTGCAAACTCAGATGGTTGAGTGGCAAGCAGTAAGTCCCGTTCAACATACACAGAATTGTGCTTCACTTCCCACTGATTTTAACGGGATTTAGAATCGTAAGAGTTGGAAGCGACATCCTAGGTCCTCAATCCACTATTCCAGCGTTCCTCAAGTGCATCCAGCTATGCATTGGATCGGGGAATGTGGCTGTGCAATATAATAAGCACATAGGGGATAAAGGAAAATGGCGACAGGAAGGAGGGAGGGACAAAAAGGGAAGAGGATGGGAACTCCTGCCCCCTGCTTCACTGCTATTTTCCATCAAAGGTGGGACTCTGTTTCACTTGGTTCTAGATATGTCACCTCTCTGGCCTGACCAATTTATATCTTCAGCTGATCTCTGGCAAATGTAACAGAGATTAATCAGATAAATTTGAGGTGGCACAGTCAAATAGCATTTATTCCTGTTGCAGAAAATCTGTAGAATAAGGCCTTCTAAGATGAGGGTTTTTTTTTGGGGGGGTGCTTCCGTATCTCAGGAGACAAATTTTATTGACTTCTAGGATCTGTTGGGATTGACTGACATAATGCTAAATCCAAATTTTAATTCAGGCAAGGGCAAGTGAGATAAGTTCCCTCTGAAGGAAAGTATTTACTGTATTTTTTGCTCTATAAGACTCACTTTTTCCCTCCTAAAAAGTAAAGGGAAATGTGTGAGCGTCTTATGGAGCAAATGCAGGCTGAAGCCAGAACAGCAAGAGGGATTGCTGCTTTCACTGTGCAGTGATCCCTCTTGCTGTTCTGGCTTCTGAGATTCAGAATATTATTTTTCTTGTTTTCCTCCTCCAAAAACTAGGTGCGTCTTGTGGTCTGCTGCGTCTTATAGAGTGAAAAATACGGTATTTTAAACAGCTGATGGTGTAACTCTGTGTACAGTGATATCTTGGGTTACATACGCTTCAGGTTACATACGCTTCAGGTTACACACTCCACTAACCCAGAAATAGTGTTTCAAGTTAAGAACTTTGCTTCAGGATGAGAACAGAAATCGGGCTCCGGCGGCGTGGCGGCAGCAGGAGGCCCCATTAGCTAAAGTGGTGCTTCAGGTTAAGAACAGTTTCAGGTTAAGAACAGACCTCCGGAACGAATTAAGTACTTACCCGAGGTACCACTTTATTTCTCTCTCTGTGTGTATTTCATATATACCAAACGCGTGCGCGCGCACACACACACATGTATGACATATTTTATTACCTGGATGGCATCTATATGAAGTTCACTGTGATAGTGACCAGCTAGTTTTGGTGGCTCGTTTCCCTCTGCCCACTTCTTGACTTCCAGTTGCAGACAGTTAGCCAGGGAGCGTTTAGCAGCATCCTTTATAAGGAAAGAAGAAAACACCAAAACACAGATTAGCAGCAGTGTTCACGTTTCAGTTACTCTGTCACCAATCGCAGGGCCAATCAAAAGTGTCTGAAAGGTCTTAAGGTCTAGGATTCAACTTTAAGTTGGCCAGATGCAAAAAAGGGCGGGACTCCTACACATTTAGTTGCATCGAAAGGGACATTTCAGCACAAGTAGCTTCTACACAACTATTAAAGGGCCAGGAGCCCTGTCCTCCTCTTCACCTGTTCAGCTGTCCCCTTTGGGAGGTAATGAGATTTGCTGCTATGAGCTGTTTCACCTGTCTTTTGTTTGCCTGTTCACATGGAATGCTGTTTGTGATTGTACACAGTGGTACCTCAGGTTACATACGCTTCAAGTTACATACGCTTCAGGTTACAGACTCCGCTAACCGAAAAATAGTGCTTCAGGTTAAGAACTTTGCTTCAGGATGGGAACAGAAATCATGCTCTGGCAGAGCGGCGGCAGCGGGAGGCCCCATTAGCTAAAGTGGTGCTTCAGGTTAAGAACAGACCTCCGGAACGAATTAAGTACTTAACCTGAGGTACCACTGTAATTATCATTTAATGTTCTGAATACTGATTTTAGAGTGTTGTTATTTCCTGTTTTATTGTGTGTTTCCCTAGCCTGGAACTATATACGGTGAAGGGCAGATTATAAACCCCATTTTTAAAAATTCTTCAAACAGTAATAACAAATTCTCACATAGAAAGGTGGCATTTGTATGCAGGTGTATTTTGATGCATTGAATAGAATGAAAGTTTATGAGTCATGTTGGAGGGGAGAGCACATGTACAAATTCAACACTTTGTTTGTTTTGTTGCTATTTTGTTAATGTTGTTAATATTGTTTTATAGATATGAATGCTGTTGTACTTTGTGAATCCTATAATATGATTTTTGATGTAACTGTGATGTTTAGCTTATTTTTTAGTTGTTTTGTTAATAGGGTTACATAAATGGTAATTGTTTTATTTGGGATTTGGGATTGTTTTACTGATGATTTGTTAAGTATTCCATACTGAAGGAAGGTGAGGACAGGTGACCCCACCTAGGCCCGAAGTCCCCCCCCCAAAGCAGGCTCAAAGCTTCTCAAAGCTTTTCAAAATCATTTTCTCAGCAGCTAAGCATCTGCTCATTTGCTCTGCTGTTGCAAGGCAAACCGTTACTTTTATCAGTACAAGAAGGCTTCAAAAGGCTAATGAATAGACTCTGTCAGAGCAGGCCTGAGAACTGACTTTTATCTCATTCTAGTTGCAACATCTTTGGACATGCTGAGCCGCTCTCATCCCCCTTTCCTAGGAAGGGTGCCAAGAGTCCAAGAGTCCAAGACAGGAGCTTTCTGTACATGCTCAGGAAACCTCAACATGGGGCAGGACTCCTGAGGGAGGAGAAAGGGGAGGGAACTGGAAGGGGAATATATACTCTGTGCATATGACTGTGAACTTGTGCATGTTTTTGTGAACTATCACACTTGCTCCTTCTACCAGTTCATGGATGGTAGAAATAAAAGCTTTTTCTCCGAACTATTCCTTGAGTGTCTGTTGACTCCCATCTCCCTTTCCCGGGCGCAATATTTTTCTCGCTCGAGGGCAAAGCCTCATAAGGCTACAATACGATTTATGTTATTTTTATATTTTGTTTGTAAGCTGCTTTGGAACAAAAAGTGGCATAGAAAAAGAAGAAGAATAAAAAAGAATCCCTGCTTCCACAACCACTAACAAAAATAGAACATGGATAGTTGGGAAAAAGAAGAAAGAGAGAGAGATTTTCTTCCAATTAAGCTCCTGTGTGCTTGGGAGAATGTTTGCAAGGCATTTTGCAAATGAAAATGGTGCAATTTTCTGCAAGTCACCTCTTCCCCTTTAGACAGTCTTCCAAGTTCTTCTGCAGCAGGAGAGGTTGTGACCTTGCACAATCACAGCAGTTTCCAAGCTCCATCTCACAATTCTCCCTACCCCCCAACACATACTTTCATTTCACATACAAGATAATAAATAATAATAATAATAATAATAATAATAAATTGTATTTATACCCCGCTCTCCCCGGCCAGAGCTGGGCTCAGGGCAGCTAACATCAGTAAAATTACAGTAAAAACACCAATTTAAAATAGAGGTTAAAATGCAATTTAAAATGCAGCCTCATTTTAATAGCAGCCCATAGATCAAAACCATAAGGGGAGGGAAACATAAGGGTCAGACTGAGTCCAAACCAAAGGCCAGGTGGAACAGCTCTGTCTTGCAGGCCCTGCCGAAAGATGTCAAGTCCCGCAGGGCCCTAGTCTCTTGTGACAGAGCGTTCCACCAAGTCGGGGCCAGCACTGAAAAGGCTCTGGCCCTAGTTGAGACCAATCTAACCACCTTGCAACCTGGGACCTCCAAAATGTTGTCATTTGTGGACCTTAAGGTCCTCCGCGGGGCATCCCAGGAGAGGCGGTCCCGTAGGAACGTGGGTCCTAGGCAGTCACATTATTTTAGCGCAGGGAATCTGAGCCTGCCCTGAGCACCAGCTATGGTTGGACTCGAGCTCACATCAGCGGACAATTGTGCCTGCCTTGCACGAGGCCTGGCCAACTCCTATATTGCATGACACACCCTCTTACTTTGGGATCTCCTATTACAACACAATAGGGGCCATAGTAAACATAGCAGAAAGTGAAAAGGTGCTCTTATTTGCTCAAACACAAACTGGGTGGACTACAAAATCCATTTTGTAACAGTGCCTGGACAGATTACGAATAAAAAACAAACAGGCCTCTTACCACTTCGTTAGTCAGGTACGCCACTTCAAAGTGTTTGATCTGCCTGAGCGGCAAAAGGCTTCCAAGATGGGCTTGGTCTAAGTCTTTCACTAAAATGGGGTGGTTTCTGATTTCACTGAAATGACAAAAGAAGATCACATTCACATCCCTTGCAGTTCATTGAAGCTGATTATTCCGATTCCAATTCCCAAAGAAAAACAGATGTGAAAGCAGACTTGACTGCATAGCCACAGAATACTTGGCTCCAATGTGAAGCCGGTCTACGTTGCATAGCCAGTGTTTTTACATTTCTGACTTGTTCACAGCCTTGAGCAAACAGTTGATCCAGCAAATTCTTTATTGGGGACTCAAGGACAGTACTTTGCATGAGGCACTGAAACAGTGGTGGGGAAAGGATTTTAAAGGACTCGTTAAGAGAGTGGAATGGAACTGCTTTTCAACACACAAGAAACCTGAAAGGGAATTGGAGTTCAAGTGAAGTACAGTGGTACCTCGGGTTACAGACGCTTCAGGTTACAGACTCTGCTAACCCAGAAGTAGTACCTCGGGTTAAGAACTTTACTTCAGGATGAGAGCAGAAATAACGCAGCCGCAGTGGGAGGCCCCATTAGCATCAGGTTAAGAACGGTTTCAGGTTAAGAACGGACCTCCGGAACAAATTAAGTTCTTAACCCGAGGTACCACTGTAGTCATAAGGACATAATAAGAGCCTGCAGGATCAGGCCAAGGGCCCATCTAGTCCAGCATCCTGTTTTCACAGTGGCCAACCAGATGCCCGTGGGAAACAGGGCCTGCCACCCTGAAGCCAAATCTTAGGGGCATGTGAGACCCCAAAAGTGCCCCATGAAAAGACCCCAGTGATCAAGGTGGAGCACAAGGAATCAAGCAGTCTGTAAGGAACTTTGGGTCCAAGTTATATAGGGCTTTGCGAATTAACACAAAAATTTCAAACCTGACCTGGTGGCAATTGGGCTACCAGAAATATTTGAAATGTTTAGCCATAACCCCATCTCGCTGCAAACCGTTGCTTAATGATTCCCATTAGAATCAAAATGGGTGTCTCATACACACACACACACACACACACACACACACCCACCCACCCGTATTTTTCTGTTTATAAGACAATATTCCCCCCCTATTTTTTCCAAGTTTAAAATTGGGGGGTTGTCTTATACACGGATAGTGCATATGGGGGAGTTCTTTATTTGGAGTCCCAAAAAATAGGGGGCATGTTATACATGGTGGCGTGTTATACAAGGAAAAATACGGTATATATTTTGTCATCACCATCAAAAGCATCCAAATATGCAGCAGCAGAACATGCCACAGTCAATTGAGCCCTGTCACCCCATTCTGATCAACGGAAGAAAGGATACTTTTTCATATACTAGATCAGACTATGCACAGAAAGCTGTTCTGCTCAGTTCCTGTTTGCCCTGGCTCAGCCTCTCTTGCATTGGACACCCCCCCCCACTAAAACATGCCTACATTTCATTGGATGCCTGGATTGTTGAAATTCTGCTTCTGCAGTTCCTTAACCTTCAGAACCAGCATTTTTCAAGGGTGTGGGACAAAAGCCTGCCATGCGGAAAAGGCAGCCTGAAAGCCCTAGTAAACATGTGAAACATGTTTTCGAATCTCATCCCTCAATTCCATTTTCTGCAGTGTTCCTTCAGCATAACTCATTTTGAGTGCAGAGTGTAAAGGGGAAGGTCCAGAATAGCTCGGTAGTAGAGCACACTCTTCGCATGCAAAAGGTAGACCTGATACAGTGGTACCTCAGGTTACATACGCTTCAGGTTACAGACTCCGCTAACCCAGAAATATTACCTCGGGTTAAGAACTTTCCTTCAGGAAGAGAACAGAAATTGTGCTCCGGCGGCGCGGCAGCAGCAGGAGGCCCCATTAGCTAAAGTGGTGCTTCAGGTTAAGAACAGTTTCAGGTTAAGAACGGACCTCTAGAACAAATTAAGTTCTTAACCCGAGGTACCAGTGTATCTCTGTCTGGAACCCTGAGAGCAATTGACAGTTAGATGCACTAACGGTCTGACTCTTTATGAACCAACGGTTTGTTTGAGGCAGAATTTGGATGGTAGATGTTGAGATGTGGGAAAGAGGAAAAGGTTCAGCCAGTGAACAGAGAGGCACACTGTCTGCTTTTGGGCTGGCCAGACCTGCAGCGTAACCCGGACGCAGGGCAAAACCGCTACTTACTTTGGATAGATATTCTGCACCCAGGTGAGGAGAAGGTAAGTGTCCTTCCTGCCCAGTTCGAACTGGGCAACCATCTCGATCTGAGAAGAGAAGCACTTGTGGTAGAACTGCGCATAGGTGCTGCACACTTGGAAGTCCTCTGGGTAATGGCACTTGATGTATTTCACCACAGTGATCAGGTCATCTTTCATAGCCTTCCCCATGTGTAGGAAGCTGTGGGCGGTTGTCGAGAGGCCCTCGTTGCTGTCAAACGGAGGCTCTTTCATTCTGTCGGTTACGGACTCCTGGACTGTACTCCTCCACTCGTCCTTCCATCTTCTGGGCCGGCAATGCGCAGCTTTCCCAGATGCCTCTTCTTCCAACGTGCATCTCCTGTCCTCCTTCACCTGTTCTGCTACTGTCCTCACTGCATCCCTCAGGAGTTCTGGCTCAGCCTGCGCGATGCTAACGGACGACCGGATGATCCTGAGGACCTCTTGCTTCAAAAGTCCAAACAGGTCTTCAATTTCACTCTGATGGTCCACATGGTCCTCTTTGCGCTTGCTGCCAGAGTCACTGCTGCATTCCCTCTCCATGGCCAGGAGATGTTGGCTGGCATCAAAGAATCTTTGATCTTTAATCAGCTCCCTGATTTGGTCAGCTGGCAAAACAAAAGGAAAAACAACTTGGTACCCAATAACATGGAGATTCAAATTTCATTTGTCCATGCATTTAACTTACATCCTGCAGTAATAATAATAATAATAATTTTTATTTATACCCCACCCTCCCCAGCCAAGGCTGGGCTCAGGGCGGCTAACAAGCAATAATAAAAACAAGTTGAATGAATACAACTTAAAAACAAAATTAAAATACAACATTAAAATATTGAAATATTAAAATGCAGCCTCATCACAGGAGGAGAAAAGAAAAAGGAAAAGGGGGAGGGAATCAAATTGGCTCCAAGCCAAAGGCCAGGTGGAACAACTCTGTCTTACAGGCCCTGCGGAAAGAAATCAGGTCCTGCAGGGCCCTGGTCTCATGAGGCAGAGCATTCCACCAGGCCGGAGCCAGTGTTGAAAAGGCTCTGGCTCTGGTTGAAGCTAATCTGACCTCCTTAGGGCCCGGGACCACTAGGGTGTTGCTATTTATGGACCTTGAGGCTCTCCGTGGGGCATACCGGGAGTACGAGGGTCCTAGGCCGTAGACGTATGCACAGCTCATAATTTGAGAGTAGAAACGATAGATGTCTTGTCCCTGTTTCCAGCAATTTATGCTATTGTTTCCAGTAACTGGTAGCCAGAGAGAATGTGATCTTGCCAGGACTCTTCCTCTGCCAAGGGAGTCTTCAGACATTACAGTGATCTCAAGACAGTGAATGTGGGGCTGTCATGCCCGACGTGGGGTGGGTGTTTGAGTTCCTGCCTTAGCGTACACCAGAGTTTCCCAAACTTGGGTCTCCAGATGTTTTGGGACTACTGTTCCTATCATCCCTGACCACTGGTCCTGCTAGCTAGGGATGATGGGAGTTGTAGTCCAAAAACAGCTGGAGGCCCAAGTTTGAGAAACCCTGGTGTACACTGAGGATGTGTACACATCACTAGCTTAAAACACAGCCGATGCTGCAGCAGCATTTCAAATCATTTCTGCTTATCATTATAATGTTCAGCGTGGCTGGATGTATTTACAAATTGCCCACTCTTTGTCCACACCAGTGGGCAGATAGAAGGCATGGATGGCTTCATATGCCTTAAGTTTTCATATGGGATAGAAGCTGATTTTAGGGGGAATGCATCAAAACACACTATTTCTCAAGAAACTGCACGACAAAGGCGGCTTGTGACTCATGTCATGATCACATGCCTTCACAAACCAGCAGTGGGAGTGCCCTGGGTATATATACAGGAGAGCAAGGAGCCTCACTGATCGCCGAAGAATTGATGCTTTTGAATTGTGGTGCTGGAGGAGACTCTTGAGAGTCCCATGGACTGCAAGAAGATCAAACCTCTCCATTCTTAAGGAAATCAGCCCTGAGTGTTCACTGGAAGGACAGATCCTGAAGCTGAGGCTCCAGTACTTTGGCCACCTCATGAGAAGAGAAGACTCCCTGGAAAAGACCCTGATGCTGGGAAAGATGGAGGGCACAAGGAGAAGGGGACGACAGAGGACGAGATGGTTGGACAGTGTTCTCGAAGCTACCAGCATGAGTCTGACCAAACTGCGGGAGGCAGTGGAAGACAGGAGTGCCTGGCGTGCTCTGGTCCATGGGGTCACGAAGAGTCAGACACGACTAAACAACAAGAAGGAGTCTCACAGTTTTCCAAGTGCCTTCAGAGCAGAATTGGTAGTGCCATTCTCTTATGTTTCTGAAAGCCTGGCATCATAGAGAGCCCTCGCTATTCTCCAGGCCTCGGAGAAGGGAAAAGTCTCTCTTTGTGCTCTCCCGGAGCAAAAGTGGTGTTCGCCACTGGCGAGCACATTTGTGGTTCCTTGCTTATTTCTGTAAAGCACTTAAAAACGCTAACTGTGGCAGGCTGCAAGATCTCGGAGGGGGTGTTCACATAAACCCCTAAACTGCTTCCTGCCTCTAGCTTCAACACCTGGAGCTGTGGGTCCTAATGAGTCCTCACTCCCCTTGAGTCTATGATTCCCTGCAAGTAGAAAATGAGCAAAGCAAGCAAAGGGTTGAGCTGGAAGATTTCCCCTGATGTGCTAGCTTTCTTTTTGCCATGCACGGGCTCTATTGCCTTCTCCACTTGCATTTTTAGACAAGTGACACAGGAAGGATCAATACTCTTGATACCCAGGGATGGAGGGATCAGCCCATGCCAAGTTCACGTGCGTTCATTCATAACTCTGTTCTATCCTCTTTCCGCATCAATCTTAGGTTTTTTTTAAAAAAAAAATGCAGAAAAATCTATATTTAAATACAGTGGTACCTCGCAAGACGAATGCCTTGCAAGACGAAAAATGCGCAAGACGAAAGAGTTTTCTGTTTTTTGAGTCGTTCCGCAAGATGAATTTCCCTATGGGCTTGCTTCGCAAGACGAAACGTCTTGCGAGTTCTTGCGAGTTTGTTTCCTTTTTCTTAAAGCTGCTAAGCCGTTAATAGCCGCTAAGCCGCTAAGCCGCTAATAGCCGTGCTTTGCAAGACGAAAAAACCGCAAGACGAAGAGACTCGCGGAACGGATTAATTTCGTCTTGCGAGGCACCACTGTATGTATATAGGTACATGCTTTTTTAAAATAAGTACATGCTTTTGAATGCATTTTCTTTATTATATGAGAAATTTTTTTTATAAAACATTTTTTTCTCTGAGTATGCATTTCTAAATGTATTTTATACATTTGGAAACATATGTAAAAGGGCACCGTTGCGCCCATGAGACCATGTTGGAAGCCCCTGCTGTAAGAGACCAATAAATTTGGTCAGAAGAGAATCTTAATTGATGGACAAATTTATGTTGGGGGCAGGTGGTCCTTCGGGGTGGTCATACTGTACCTGTAACTGGTTTGCTTTCCTTTTCATTTGGAGGGTCCTTCTCTGCTCTTAAGGGTTTCATTCTGTTTTCCCCAAGTGCTAAGTACTTCAGACCATCAATGAGTACCCTCTTCATTTTCTTCTTTTTCTTCTTGTTATTTTGCTCAGGAGTACAATGGCATGTGGCATTGTTTTTCGAAGGCAACCCTTGACTTTCAGTTTTCACCTTGTCCTTCGGCGGAGCTTCTTCTGTCGAGGATTCGATCGACGTGGAGTCAAATTCTGATTCAGAAGACGTTGAAGGCTTGGGGTCCTCACTTTTGACCTTAGATTTTGAATCCTCGGCTTTTACAGGACCGCTAGAGAATATGGTGAACATTTTCATTCCCATCATCTTCTAAGCCTGCAAATGACAATTAAGAAGTTGTCAGGTTGCAGGATTTGCATTCAAGAAGCCAAAAAGGAAAACCATCCAATGGTCAAAGGTTAGACAGAGGAAGAAAAGTTCAGTGACCAGCTCCTGTGTTTAACAAAACAGTGAAAAAAGCTGATACTTATTTAAATATTTAGTAGCACAACAGCACTTTTAGTGGACACCGTGTCATTTGTGACACATACAAGTTCACTTATCTGAGTGATGTTCTCATACCCTCCAAGTGTCCCTATTTTCCAGGGACAGTCCTGGATTTATAGAAGCTGTCAGAGTTTCTGATTTGATCCTGGAATGTCCTGCTTTTCCTTAAGATGTCCCTATTTTCAATGGAGAGATGTTGGAGGGTATGGAGTTATGCAACCCCCGAGCCAAGGAGATAAGTCACTATACAACCTTTAGGGTATTTTTAATGTTTAGTGGTTTGTTATGTTTTCAGATGGGACGCGGGTGGCGCTGTGGGTTAAACCACAGACCCTAGGGATTGCCGATCAGAAGGTCGGCGGTTTGAATCCCTGCGATGGGGTGAGCTTCCGTTGCTCAGTCCCAGCTCCTGCCAACCTAGCAGTTTGAAAGCATGCAGTACAAGTAGATAAATAGGTACTGCTCCAGCGGGAAGGTAAACGGTGTTTCCGTGCACTGATCTGGTTCTCCAGAAGCGGCTTAGTTATGCTGGCCACATGACCCGGAAGCTGTACGCTGGCTCCCTCGTCCAATAAAGCAAGATAAGCGCCGCAACCCCAGAGTTGTCCGTGACTGGACCTAATGGTCAGGGATCCCTTTACCTTTACCTTTAACTTTACCTATGTTTTCAGATATGTTGGAAGCTGCCCAGAGTGGCTGGGGCAACCCAGTTAGATGAATATAAATAAATTATTATTATTATTATTATTATTAGGAATAGGACATTCCTATTTTAATTGAAGAAATGATTGAGGGTATGTAGCTCTTAGCAGGCATTCAATAGTGCCCCAGCTCAACTACTTATGGTTTGGTGAACAAATCATAGTTGTGGGGGCTTCAAAATCAAGGAGGAGTGGCCCTGGTGCTGAAAAAGGGTTTAGGTTTTAAAATAAAAGCTTGATGACCAACAACTATTCATGCCAGGAACTGTGTAGGCCCCTAACACAATCCAGATAATTTATTTGAGGAAACTGATGCTTAAAACAAATTCCCTTATAATTGGATATACCGTATTTTTTGCTCTATAAGACTCCACTTTTTCCCTCCTAAAAAGTAAGGGGAAATGTGTGCGCATCTTATGGAGCGAATGCAGGCTGCGCAGCTATCCCAGAAGCCAGAACAGCAAGAGGGATTGCTGTGCAGCGATCCCGCTTGCTCTCCTGGCTTTAGGGATAGCCACGCAAAGCCTCTTCAACAACATTTGATTCAGAATATTTTCTTTCTTGTTTTCCTCCTCTAAAAACTAGGTGCGTCTTATGGTCAGGTGTGTCTTATAGAGTGAAAAATACAGTAATTGGAGATGGTCTTAATCGGAACGCCTTGAGGTTAACACTGAAAATCTATTATCAAAAGAGAAAAAAATAGCACACCTGTGTACCTAGAGTAGAATGAGACTCATACAATAACAAATTAAAATTAATTAGACTTCTACAGCAGTTGGGACTAAGGGGTGTCTGGATCTTAGTTTCACATTTCATGTTGCACTCTTGGCAGTCAAGGATACATTTTATTTTAGCAACATCCAAGGTTAGAAGGATGGTATCCTCTTCAGGTATTCAGAACTTTAAAATAACAGACTGTGTCCCAGTGTGGTCTTGTTTTATATTAATGGAGCATGCCAGCTTCCACCCAGATTGATGGTTTGGCCATCACTGCTCTCCACCCAACTAAGCTAAGGAAAATATTCAGGAAGCATTAATGAATTATATTAAAGAGAACACAGTGCAAATCGGTGTGTGGAAAGCACAAGGGACCCTTTAACGAGGAGGTGCTATGTTGCTAGAGGTTCACCGTAAACTTAAAGCCTATTCCCCCACCAAGGAATCCTGATAACTGTAATTTACCCTCCATAAAACTATGATTCTAAGCGCCTTTAACAAACTACAGTTCCCATGATTCTTGGGGGAACAGGGTGGGGAGAGAGAATGTACTTTAAGTGCATAGCCTGTACAGAGCCAAGCACACACAAGAGAACCCCTACAGCAAAAATAAATGTAATGGCTTGTCCTTACTCAACAACAGATACACGCCACAAAAGGGGAGGTCTCCTCATCTCCTAGGGTAGCCATTGACTCCTAGGGAATGTGTCACCAAGATATAGTGCCAAAGAGAACACAGATCTACACACACAAGGAATCGGTACACACTAACTTATATGTAAAGGAAAAGGGACCCCTGACCTTTAGGTCCAGTCACGGACAACTCTGGGGTTGCAGCGAACAACAGGAGCTCACCCCATCGTGGGGATTCGAACCCCCGACCCTCTGATCGGCAAGCCCTAGGCTCTGTGGTTTAACCCACAGCGCCACTTGCGTCCCTAACTTATATGTACAGTGGTACCTTGGGTTACAGATGCTTCAGGTTACAGACTCCGCTAACCCAGAAATAGTACCTCAGGTTAAGAACTTTGGTCAGGATGAGAACAGAAATCGTGCAGCAGCAGGAGGCCCCATTAGCTAAAGTGGTAGCTCAGGTTAAGAACAGTTTCAGGTTAAGAACGGACCTCCAGAATGAATTAAGTTCTTAACCAGAGGTACCACTGTATATAGATGTAAATTTCGAAGTAATTATTAACATGGAAATAGGAACACATCTTATCATATTGGAGAAGAGTGTGGCCAACTGAGCTGTGTACGTGCCCAGTTTGGTACCCAACTCCAAAGCCCATCTGCTCTCCCTCCCCACGATTCTTTATCTTTAAACCGCACATGGACCAGGTAGCCCTTCAGATAGAGAGGACTGTGAAGTGTGAGATAAGGCTACCCTTTCCACTTGAGTTTTTTGTGCAAAATACTTTTGGGTCTGCCAGTGGAATGGACGCCATTATTAGCAGAATGGGTTTCCCCTTCTCTGCAGTTCCCTTGACCCCTAAAAAAAACATGCTCTGGAACAGTTTGATAGTGGGGGCTGCATGTGGGGTAGGGGGGGAGAGAGGAAGAGAAAGTCCATCTGTACAATGATGATGCCCATAATCTCCCCCACATTAATTCATGGAAAAATCACAGTGAGCACCAACTGATTTCATTGGTCCCAATGGAACATTTGTCGCTGACTTCAGCAGAGTTTGTTTTTCTTTCTTTCTTTTACTCTTTTGAGATTTTCCAGTGAAGTGGAAAAAGTGTTCAATTACTTGAAGAAGAAGAAGAAGAAGAAGAAATGATTCAGGGACATGTGAGTGACAGCAGCCTTGCCACTGGAACGGTCACATGGCATGGTTTCTGGAATAATGTGTTTTAAACAGGCAAACTCTCTTGTTTATTTTAGTGGTGACACGGAAGCTAGACAGGCGTCTCAAGGGAGGGATACATCTTTGATGCAGCACTAATTATATTTCGGAAACAATGGCTATATAATTTTCCAAGTTTCTGTTGCCCAAGAAGGATAGAGGAAACCATGCAATTCTCCCTTTGTTAAACTGCACTCCAGAATTCCTTTTTTTTAAAAAAAACTTTAAAAAAAAAGTTTCACATGATATTTATTATTACTTGGTAGAATCACAGAATAATATGATTGTAGAGTTGGAAGGGACCCTGAGGATCGTCTAGCTGAACCCCCCTCAATGCAGGAATCTCAGCGTTTTTTAGTAGAGGATTATGCATGGGGACCTTGTAAAGCAGGGTGAGTTGGTTTGAAAACTTTAAATCAAGGCAATTCAAAACAGCAATTTACTTTTAAAAAACCATCATGAAAAAAAGGGGGGAGCAGATTTGAACATTTGAGTATTATCAAGTTCCCCCAATGGCACACCGTCTATTTCCTAAACAACGATGCATGTAAGCATGTCTATGGACAACTAAATATACCACCTGCTGCTTGATTAAACTTCATGTTTATATTAGAGGATTATGTACAGTGTGTTAGTTTAAAAATCTTTGCATTGCCTTGATGAAGAGAAGAGTTTGGATTTGATATCAAATTGGATTTGATATGGATTTATCACTACCCGAAGAAGTCTCAGAGCGGCTAACATTCTCCTTTCCCTTCCTCCCCCACAGCAAACACTCTGTGAGGTGAGTGAGGTTGAGAGACTTCAGAGAAGTGTGACTAGCCCAAGGTCACCCAGCAGCTGCATGTGGAGGAGCAGAGACGTGAACCCGGTTCACCAGATTACGAGTCTACCGCTCTTAACCACTACGTCACACTGATTTAAAGTTTGCAAACACATCATTATAAAAAAGGAAGGGAGCAGTTGATTTGAATCAGAATAAAATCAGGTTTCCCAATGGCACACCGTAGAATTCCTAAATTGTACATGCTAAGTGTACAATTAAATTTATTTATTATCATTATCTCATGTGTCGACTGCTCTTCCTCCCAAAAGAGCCCAGCGTGGCACCTGCTATGATATGTTAACAGTATACAGTATACTTTTTCCAGTGCTGCTCCTTTCAGTTTCGTTTTCCGTTTTCCCCTAAATCATGTTTCAATCCCACCATTGCTCCCATTCCAAAACCTTTGCTCATGCGAGTCATCTGTTTTGGATTAGGGACAACTTATTTGATTACAGACGGAACTTTTCTGAGGCAAACAGCCGGCGGCATTTACTTTCCTAAACTGAAAAGGAAATGCCTTTTGCTTATACAGTGGTACCTCGGGTTAAGTACTTAATTCGTTCCAGAGGTCCGTTCTTAACCTGAAACTGTTCTTAACCTGAAGCACCACTTTAGCTAATGGGGCCTCCCGCTGCTGCCACGCCGCCAGAGCAAGATTTCTGTTCTTATCCTGAAGCAAAGTTCTTAACCTGAAGCACTATTTCTGGGTTAGCGGAGTCTAACCTGAAGCGTATGTAACCTGAGGTACCACTGTACAATTGCAGATTTAAGATAATCCAGGCTGCAATACAGTTTTATTCACAGTTCCTTGGGAGTGAGATGCATTGAACTCAAAGGGTTCTGAGCATATAATATGCATGGTAAAGAGTATAAAAAGTAGGAGCACACACAATCACCCAGTTGGACACTGCAAATCTAGGGGGTCATGTAGTCAAACTCCTTGCTTAGTGTGAGACTCTTGCAACCACAGAATCCCTGCTCAGAAAAGGAACCTTGCAACTACTGAATACAGACCGCCATCCAGATTCCACCCCCCTCCCAATATGATTGCTTCTCTGGAAGTCCCTCATCCTGCTCTCACAGTGGCTAGCCAGTTGACAGTAGGAAATCCACAAGCAGGACATGAGTGCGATAAAGCACTTTTGATTTCCAAGTCATGAAATGAATGCACCATTTACATAAGAGCTTTTTAGGAACAGGAAAGGCACTATACTGTGCTTGACTCTTATTACTTTGGTTAGGTTGTCGGATTAGTAAATCCAAAGCTATTAACAGCGTTTTCTTTTGAGTGCTTTGCATTTATTTTAGCAAGGCATCAGAGGCTCCTGAGACCCGGCCATGTATTGAGAGAAGCATGCCAGCCCACTCTCTTCTCCTGTGAGCAAACCGGATTCAAAGGGTGCAACTTTTTCTTTCTTAGTAACCTTTCCTTCTCAACAAGTGCAAAACAATGACTCCCAAGGTCTTTTTGTCGGGTTTGCTTGGAAGAGCTGAGGCAGATTATGTTTTTTGAAGCCTGTGCAATAGCAGAAACTCCCTGTTGTTGAGTCATTTTCCTGATAGGCTTAAACTGCTCTTCGCTTACACTAAATAAAGTAATGCAAACATAAAACATTGGCCAGGTCTGCTTGTGAGTAAGTATGCTTAGGATCACTGAGACTACAGAATTCCACATTCAACATTGCAGTCACACGATCCACACACAGAGCATGCGAGAGTCTCACATGTGCTTGTCCGTGTCACATGTGAAAGAGGTACAGTATTTGACATTAGTGTGAACTAGGGTCAACAGTGTGAGACAAGCTCAAAGACTGCATGGAAACTTCTCTGTGCCCTTGTCTATTCTGTGCAATTCTGAGTTGAGCAGGAGTTCCAATTTGGATCACAGAATCATAGAATTGTAGAGCTGCAAGGGACCACGAGGGTCATCTTGTCCAACCCCCCCTGCAATGGAGGGACCTTTGACCCTGAGATCAAGAGTCTCATGCTCTGCTGACATGAGTTACAGTCTAACCCAGAAATGCTAGTCAATGGATCTCAAAGTTTAGGTCCCACCAGAGTCCCATAATCAGGAGCTGTATGCCAGATCCAGATGCACCAACATCTGGTTTGCAGGGTGCAATAGCTACACCATGGGTAGGAAACCTGTGTCCCGCTTGATGTAACTGGACTACAACTCCCACCATCCCCCACTGACCATGCTGGTTGGGGCTGATGGGTGTTCAACATCAAGAGGGTCACAGGTCCTCCGCTCCAAGCTGCCCGAGTCACACATACAAAGCAGCATCTAGCTGTGCTGGAGGAGACTTTTGAGAGTCCCATGAATGCAAGAAGATCAAACCTATCCATTCTGAAGGAAATCAGCCCTGAGGGCTCACTGGAAGGACAGATCCTGAAGCTGAGGCTCCAATACTTTGGCCACATCATGAGAAGAGAAGACTCCCTGGAAAAGATCCTGATGCTGGGAAAGATGGAGGGCACAAGGAGAAGGGGACGACAGAGGATGAGATGGTTGGATAGTGTTCTTGAAGCTCCCAGCTTCAGTTTGACCAAACTGTGGGAGGCAATGGAAGACAGGAGTGCCTGGCGTGCTCTTAAACGACTAAACAACAACAACAACAAAGCTGTGACCATCACTGCCTACAGTTGCAAGTCTAAGCTCACTTACCTGGGAGTAAGCCCCACTGAATTCAGTGGGCTTTACTTCTGAGTAGACACGGTTAGGCTTCCACAGCAAACCACCACAGACCTTGCCAAACCCAGCCCTGCCCGGCTTAACTTAATTTTCACACATTGTTGCTGCAACGAAGTGACACAACACTCTTTACACCAGCCACCCTCTTCCCTCTTCCGGGAGCTCCAGGGGCAAATTTTGGATGAGCCTGTGAAGGCTGCAGTTAGAAGGGCATCAGTTCATCGGGGGGCATCAGCCAGAGGGGCGAAAAATAACAAGTCCTGGCTGGACTCACTTGGAGAGTTTGTTGTTTCACAAGACCACGCGGAGAGCTCAGTTTACAGTAAGCTCCCGGGTTCCCAGCAGAGCGCAAGGCAGGCGGGTCAAGAAGTCGACCAGCGAGGGGAAGAGGGGCTAGCGACCCCCTTAAGGCGGTCTGAGATCAGCCACGTGGAGGGAGAGAAGGACCCAGCCCTGAGATCAGGAGTTGGGGAGCGGGGCAAGAAGGACTTACAGCAGATTCTAGTTGACTTTGGATGACGGGATGGTTCCTCTTCCTCTCTCTCTGTCCCTCTCCCTGGGCTGGCTGCAGCGCGGTTTCTAATTTTCTAGAGAGCACCCAGGGTTATAAAGCAGGGAGGAGGAGGAAGAGGAGGGGAAAAGCGAAGTTACCACGCCCGCCACCTTCCCCCGCTCCCGCGTGGGCGCCTTTGGAAATTCCGTCTAACTTGCATCAGGTTAGGTGGTTACAGATGCGCAAGGAAAATCCAGAAGGCGGGATTTCCTACTCTGGAGCGCAGCGAGAGAAGTCAAGGCAGAGCAAGAAAATGACCAGGACTTGTTCTCTCCTCAATGGCAGCAAAAAGCCTGGGGTATGCATCGCAGGAGGTCTGCTTCAAATGATTTTCAGAGCGAGGGATTTATTTGGAGAAAAAGCCAGGAAGAGGAGACACGACGGAAGTTTATAAAAAAGTCATGCGTGGCAGGATGGAGAGAGCGGGCAGGGAACAGCTTTGGTCCCTCTCTCGTTGCGCTCAGTGAAGCTGAATGCTGAGAGATTCCGGGCAGATAAGAGAAAGGGGTAGCCAAGGTGGGTAGTGGGTGGAAGAGCAGCAGCCCCCCTAAATCAAGTAAATAAAAGAGGGTTGGACAAATTCATGGAGGAGTGGGCCATGAATGGCTATACAGTGGTACCTCGGGTTACAGACGCTTCAGGTTACAGACTCCGCTAACCCAGAAATAGTACCTCGGGTTAAGAACTTTACCTCAGGATGAGAACAGAAATCATGTGGTGGCAGCGGGAGGCCCATTAGCTAAAGTGGTGCTTCAGGTTAAGAACAGTTTCAGGTTAAGAACGGACCTCCAGAACAAACCCAAGGTACCACTGTACAATGCTTCTGAATAGCAGTTGCTGGAAACCACAGGAGGGGAGAGTTGCTCTTGCGCTCAGGTCTTGCTTGAGAGTCTCAGGCAGGCACCTGGTTGGCCACTGTGAGAACAGGATGCTGGACTAGATGGGCCATGGGCTTGATCCAGCAGGCTCTTCTTCTATTCTTATGCACAGGAGCCAACTCCTAGCCACTGAGGTCTCTTCGGCCTCCTCAGTAAAATATTTGAGGATGGGCACTGTCATTCAAAAGGGACACAGGTGGTGCTGTGGGTTAAACCACAGAGCCTAGGAGTTGCCAATCAGAAGGTCGGTGGTTCGAATCCCCGCGACAGAGTGAGCTCCCGTTGCTTGGTCCCTGCTCCTGCCAACCTAGCAGTTCGAAAGCACGCCAAAGTGCAAGTAGATAAATAGGTACCACTCCAGCGGGAAGGTAAACGGTGTTTCCGTGCGCTGCTCTGGTTCGCCAGAAGCGGCTTAGTCATGCTGGCCACATGACCCAGAAGCTGTACGCCGGCTCCCTCGGCCAATAAAGCGAGATGAGCGCCGCAACCCCAGAGTCGGCCATGACTGGACCTAACGGTCAGGGGTCCCTTTACCTTTACAGTGGTACCTCGGGTTAAGTACTTCATTCGTTCTGGAGGTCCGTTCTTAACCTGAAACTGTTCTTAACCTGAAGCACCACTTTAGCTAATGGGGCCTCCTGCTGCTGCCGTGCCGCCAAAGCACAATTTCTGTTCTCATTCTGAAGCAAATTTCTTAACCTGAAGCACTATTTCTGGGTTAGCGGAGTCTGTAACCTGAAGCGTATGTAACCTGAGGTACCACTGTACTGTCATTCAAATGGTGTGTGTGTGCCATGTCATGTGACTGATTATACAGGGCAGGGCTCATCTGCCTCCCCCCCCCCCCACAATATTTTATTCAAGTTGGCAACCCTGTTCTTATGATTGGTACTTCAGAGTAATGCCACAGAATGCTCAGAGTTTGATGATTAGCTGGTAGAGCCTAGGAGTTCTGGAGGACATTGCAACAACAACAACAAAAAGAAGATCCTTTTTTTTTTAATGCACAGCATGAAGGGTGGAGTTCACACAACAGTCCTGGGTCTTCCTCCCAGCCCCTCAGGTGTATTGGGAGCAGTGAGGCCTCACCTGCTGGTCCTGCCTTCAACCACTGCCCATATCTGGTGTCTAGGTGTTCCCAGCAAAACCTGAAAGGCGACACCTATAATCGTGCAGTTTTTTAATCGGGTGGAGAGAGCTTGCACACATGAAACTGTACCCAGGAACCATCTCCTTTGTCACTTTGTCACCTTGATGCATATAGCTGTCATTTTGGGTTGGGGGAGACATGCCTTTGTTGTGGCCTAGGGTCTGTTAGCCTGTCCTTATCTCCATGGCCCTTCACATAGAAGACGTTCAGCCCTGTATGCGGAAGTGCATTTTAATATTCCAGAACTTCTTTTTTTAAAGTCTAAGTGACTTCTTCTTTTTAACAAGAAGATGAAAGTCACCATTGAAATAGGCACACCTTCCCTTTCTCATTTAGCATTGTCCTTTAAATAAATTCCATAGCAGGTTTGGCAAAATGAGGTTGTCTGGTAATGTAGGTGCTATTGTTACAGGGTGTGCTTCCTTCCAAGTTGTCATTCATTCAAAGTGTCTGTTCATTCAACCGATTTTGTTAACTGCGTTTTCAACACTAGTTTAGCTGTTCGGACTTTCCTAGGAAGGGTTATTCTTTTCCGTCTGGGGTTTTCCACGAGTAAGTTAAAAACATCCTGGTTTTGCTAAAACTATAGATGCCTTTTCAGATCTGTTGACTCCTGTAAATATGGAGAAGTGAAGGGCCAACAATGGAAGGCAGAAGTGGAAAATACATTTGTCCAGGGAGGTCAAAGCTCAAAATAAGCTGGAAAGGGGAAAAGGATTTGGGCTCATGCTCTGCTTGTGAGCTTCCCATAGGACTCTGGAGGACGACTGTGAGAAGAGAAGGCTTTGATATGATCCACCAAGGTTCTTCTTCTTAGGACTTCTCTACAAATTCATCTAGCGTGCTTCCAGATTGGGATCCTGTATCACAAATGGGTCTTTAATTCCAGTTTCTCTATGTGTACGTTTGGCCTGTTAGAACCCATTCCTGTTTTCCCAGACATTGCTGCTGAACGCAGCAGCTAGACTGGTGACTGGGAGTGGCCGCTGAGACCATATAACACTGGTCTTGAAAGACCTACATTGGCTCCCAGTACGTTTCTGAGCACAGTTCAAAGTGCTGGTGCTGACCGGCCTCAGTCCAGTATATCTGAAGGGGCGTCTCCACCCCCATCGTTCTACCCGGACACTGAGGTCCAGCACCGAGGGCCTTCTGGTGGTTCCCTCACTGCGAGAAGCCAAGTTACAGGGAACCAGGCAGAGGGCCTTCTCGGTAGTGGCACCCGCCCTGTGGAACACCCTCCCACCAGATGTCAAAGAGAACAACTACCAGACTTTTAGAAGACATCTGAAGGCAGCCCTGTTTAGGGAAGCTTTTAATGTTTAATGTATTACAGTATTTAAATATTTTTTTGGAAGCAGCCCAGAGTGGCTGGGGAAGCCCAGCCAGATGGGCGGGGTATAAATAATAAATTATTATTATTATTATGAGACACATTGCTGTCTACAGCAGCTTGATGGAATGTATCCGCAGGTTGACTCACTGCAGGAACAAGGTCAATTTGTAGCTCAACAGCAGAGCAAGGTTGTTCGTTTTTGCTACAATAGGTACTCTGCATTGGGTTCCCAAACTGTGGTCCGTGGGCTGCCTGTGGTCCTTAAGCTTCATGCAGGTGGTCCATGGCAGGTGTGTGAGGAATGGGGGGAGCAGCAGCTGTGAATGGCAGGCACAAGTCATTCATTCATTCATTCATTCATTCTATTTACATATCAGCCTCCCTCCCAAAGGAGCTCAAGGCATTCTGAAGCCTTGAATGCTGAATCTGACCTCAGACTCCAACTGACAAATATTACACTGAACATCAAAGAACTTTGTTTAACACAACAGGCACAACCTGTGTGGTGTGAGACCTGGACTGGTGTCGTGAGAGCCAGTGGGATGCAGTTGCTGGAACATTATTACGAGAAGTCTTGGTGACTTTGGACCAGTCTAAGAACTCTCAGCCTAGCCTACCTCGCAGGGTTGTTGTGAGGATTTATATGGAGAAATGGGAAGAAAGGCAGGATATAAATGCAAATAAATAAATAAAATATTCCTATTGGCTTTTAATTGTATTTCTATTACTTCTTCTTTTTTCTTGTGTTGCATTTGTATTGCAGTTCTATGGAGTTCATGCCGCAACGCAATCAAATGCAACATATAATAAATCAAACTGTAGAACTGTAGAATTGGAAGGGTGCCCCAAGGGTCATCTAGTCCAACCCAATGCAATGCAGGAATCTCAAGAACTTGATCGTTTAACGTGGCAGCACCTGCACTTTTGAACTCGCAGCCTATTGATATCAATCAGGCACCTTCTCTGTATTCTTTTTGGTGCCTGCTGAAAACATCCTTGTTTAGGCAAGCCTACCCAGATGCTTAGAAATGCTGGTGTGGATTTTAATCTGTTTTTAATATTTTAAGGGTTTTTTTGTGTTTTAAAGTATTGTAATTTTTTTCTTGATTTTATTGTTTTACCTTTTCGTAAACTGTTTCTTTTTTTTTACAATCAAGCAGTGTATAAAGTTTATGAAATAAATTAATTAAAAATCATACAGCATCTAGCACAATGCCTTATAATTGTTACAACGAGCAGAAAAAAAGCCATGAAGTGGCCTGCCAAGCCCCTCAGTCATTTTCAAGTGGTCTGTAGGGACATCGCACTGTGTGATGTGCTGACTGATTTTAAAACATTTATATCCTGCTTTTCCTAAAATGTTCAGGGCAGCTAGCAAGACAACTACAACGACAACAAAAAACACTTAAAAAGAACAACCCAGTGATTCTCTTCTAAACAAATATGATTTTTGTTTCTAGCACTGAAATTAGCAATCTTTTGTTTTTTAAGGTAACCACAATCTTTCTCTGCAAAGAACTTCCAGAATAACTTGACTTATCATGGCGCCTCTTGAACCTCGGTGTAAAAGTTGTTGTTCTGCCGACAGCTTCCATAAAAGGTTGTCTTATCCGTATAGCATACCTTCACTGCGCATTGCCCACAAATACCACATCCTTGCATATCACAAACACTTGTGGCAGAGGGGCACGAGATTAAACCACAAACATGGGTACCGCCTTCAACACAAATTTCAGGGCGAGCGTATCCAGCCAACTGCAGAAAGGGAAGGGCCGTAGCTTAGTGGTAGAACACATTCTTGGCATGCAAATGGCAAAATGTCCTAACTTCAGTCCTGGGTATCTCTAGACAGGGCTGGGAAAGATTCCTCCTGAAACCATTGGGAACTGCTGCCAGCCAGTTTAAATCCAGAGTGGGGAAACTTTGGCTCCCCAGACATTGCTGAAC